AAGCTCAGCAACAGCACTTAGGCCCTGAGTACAAGCCCTAGGACCAGCACCAAAAAACAATAATAATAATAGGGCTGGGAAAGTGGCTCAGTGGGAGAGCGTTTGCCTTGCAGGCATGAGGCCCTGGGTTCAATTCCTCAGCACTACATAAGTAGAAAAAGCCGGAAGTGGCGTTGTGGCTCAAGTGGTAGAGCACTAACCCTGAGCTGAAGAGCTCAGGGACAGCGCCCAGGACCTAAGTTCAATCCCCACAGATGGCAAAAAAAATAAATAAAATAATAATAGCAATAATAATAATAATAATAGGCAGCTAAAATGGAGCCAGGCATGATAGCTTGCACTTCTAGCACTTGGGAGGCTGAGGAAGGAGGATCATGAGTTTGAGGTCAGCTTGGCTTATAAAATTAGAGCTTGTCTTCCAAAGGGGGCGGGGGGGGGGGAGGCGGGAGGGAGGCTATAATGGTATCTTTTTTAAAAAATTAAGGAGAGAAAAAAAGTAGATTTAGGCTTTTTAAAAGGCAAAAAGCACAGTTAAGTCATTCTTGACTCCTCTTCCTTTTGTCCTCTTTAGTCAGAAAGCCTTGTTGATTTTATCTCCTTCATTCTCTCGTACCCAGCCACACTGCACTCACTTTCTTTACTGGTCTCAACTGATGACACAGCCTGTGATCTAGTTCGAGCTCAAAGCCTTCCCCAAGCGTGGGTGCCAGCGCCCTCTCTCACAATGTGAGTGTCTTATGTCTAATTGCCATTCTTTAGTTGTTCTTTAAGAGGCAGCAGCCCACACTGTTGAGCATTTTAATATGTATACTTCACTATCTCGCTAAGATCTGCTTAAGCAAATGGGCATCCCCCAGTCTGCCTTGGGCTAACTGCTCATTTTTTCTTGAGGCTCTATTCTAGGGACCCCAATAAACCCTCAGTGACCCCCCAGTCAGGATGAGGGATCACGTGTATACCTCCACACCACACAGGAAGGACGTCACTAGTTAGAGCTGTCTGCTCATGGGATGATAAATTCCCCTAGGGCAAGGCTTCTTTGTATACAAACAATTGTTCTTTGTATATCCAGCATTTTGCAGAGTGCCAGACACAAAATTGATGCCTAGTAAGAAAGAGGTTCTTAAACAATGAATGTAGGGACAGGGAAAGCTACGTCACAGAAGGTGGTGGTAGCTGCTGGAGCCTCACACAGCAGGGCCCTCTCTTCTGGAAAGTCCCTTGTCCACTTCTTGCTCCACACCAATAGTAATACTCACTGAGATCTCTGTGCCACAAGTAACTCATTTTTGGCAAATTCAAAGTCTTTCGGAGCCTCACTTGCAAGAGTATCTCTATTGGATGGTCTTCTCCCTTTGTGGACTTCGACTGGATGATTAAATCGAAAATAATGATCGCCACCAAGAATTACCCGATCACCCTAAAGCACACAAAAATATTTGCTATTTGAGGCAGGTCTGAATGAAAACAAACTACAAGGGAAAAAAATCAATTAGCTCAACAATTCAAGATAATCTAGTACTATTAATAATAAACATAAAAATGATAGCAACTCACTTTTGGTAAATACTTTCTCTGTGTATATGCATGGGTGTATGCATGTACAGGACTTGATGACGAATACCAGGTAACCTCCCCTCCCCGCCCCACCCCACCATTGTAGCACCCTGAAACTTACATGATGCAGAACTGTAGGCTGGAGAATGTGTCTTCCATTTACGTAAGTCTTTGCTTCCCCAATGGGGATAACACTCACTGTCCCTTCCAAATTTTTGATTGTACTGTAAAAAAATAAGAAGCACTGGTCACAAGCACAGCATACTCTAAAAGGTAAGAAAAGGACAAAATGGAATAATCCCGTGTGATTCCTGCCTTTGGCGGCGAGGTTTAGATCAACTTATAGCAGCAAAGACTTAAATTATATTTTTCTTCAACTAGACTTAGGAGTTTCCAGAAAAAGAAAACCTGGCCTTTAGTCAATTCCAACCACTAGTGGTGAGGAAGAATTTTCACTGCATATATTTTGAAAGTAATTCCCAAAAAAAGCCCCTCTGAAAATGAAAATAAAAAAGGAGAAAAAAATTCAAGGAAAAAGTATTAAAAATGGATAGTTTCCCATAAGTGAACCCGTTTTAACTATTTTACTTGTCTAACTTTCTGGGTTAATAGATGAGTCTTAATAACTTTAACAGGAGTTGGAGAAACTGCTCTGCAGAAATAAGTTGCATTTTTGTCAAGAATTATGAACAAGAATACACACACCAATGTTGTAATTGCAAAAAGTTACAAATAACCCAAATGCCCACCAACAAAGCACCCAGACTGCACTAACACAAGAACTTCATGGTAGTGAAAACCATCAACACAGAGAAAATTTAAAAATAGTGCAGCCAGGCACCAGTGGCTTACACCTGTAATCCTAGGTACTCAGGACTCTAAGCTCTGAGGCCCAAAGTTCGAAGCCAGCCCAGGCAGGAAAGTCTGAGAGAGATTCTTATTTCCAATTAATCATCAAAAAGCTAGAAGTAGATCTGTGGCTCAAGCACAGTTAGAGCACTTGCCTTGGGCATAAAAGCTAAGCAACAGCGCCCAAGCTCTGAGCTAAGCAACAGCGCCCAAGCTCTGAGTTCAAGCCCCACAGCCAGCAAACAAAGAAGAAAGAACACTTACAACATAGAACCAAAACAATTTATAAACATCACCATTCCAACAGCACAGAGAAACAAGTATCATTCTAATCAAGTGACCAAAATTCATATAAAATAAAAAAATTAATCTGTCACTTCAACCCTAAGTTTTGCTATATTAAAGGGACAGAATTGCGAGAAAATAAATTACCCTTCAGTCAGATCAGGAATGCCATAGATAGAATTACATCATAGCTTATGCTGACAGGAACTCATCTGCTGTCTTTATAAAACACTCAAGAATTGTTTCTCAGAACTCCAAGAAATGGAAGCAAGAGGTTTTAGGTTATTTGGCTTTAATTTTTTTTCCTCCTTTGTTGCTGTTTTTGCTTTCTGTACCTTTTGTCTTGTACGTAAGATAATCTTGTCGGGGAGAGCAGGAAGGAGCACAGAAATGGTGGGACAAAGGGTGAAGAAACGCACCAGTGATATCACTAGACACTAAGTTGAAAATGAACTATACAACTTGTGAGGGAGGGGAGTTGGGGGGGACTAAGAGAAAACGAGGGAAAAGGAGACACTGTTCAAAAAGAAATGTACTCATTACCTGACTTATGTAACGCCAACCCCCTCTGTACATCACCTTTACAGTAACAATTTTAAGAGTTTCTAACTAATAAATACTAGAAAATACTATAAATATATTTTTTTTAAAAAAGAATTGTTTCTCCTGGCTGGAAGATAGATTTGAAGAAGGACAGCAAAGAATCAGCATACACAGATGCCTATGAAGGAGGCCCCACTTAACAAGACACAGACGCATTCTGGCACGTGTGGGTATGCCTTGGACCCTCAACCCACCAGTGATCATCAGCAATCAGGACCCCGGACAGCTGAATGTCATGGTTGGCGTGCGGTCTGCACTTCCCAACAGTAGTTGTTCCTTCTTTGATCATATACAGCAGCATCTCTGACAGCTGTGGGTCTTCGTTGAGATTGACGAGGTTTGGCAAATGGTTGTCCATCTGAAATGTAATTCCTGCTTTCTGGTGGAAGTCAGACCAAAATTTGAAAAAGAAAATTAAATCAATCTTGATCCCAGCATGAAATTATTAAATTCACCTTAATGATTATGATGGAGTCTCAATAAATTCAAGGCTTCCTGGGGCCCCACGTAGTGTATGTTTAACATGTTCAAGGCCCTCCTCTCAAAAAGAAATGAAAGGATTTTTAGACAAAATTAAAGATTTCTTAGACTCTCTCCTTGTGAGTTCTCTGTGACTTTACCATCTTATGCAGTTTATATCGACCTTTCTTTGTCCTTCACCACCCGCCATCACTCTTACATCAACCTGTCACTCCTGGCTGCATCCATTTTAATTCTCCCTGGTCTTTAGAATGGCAGTTTCTTCAGGCTCCATGTTCAATTTCACCGTCTTACTGCAGGAACTGACTCACGTCAGATGCGCAGTGCCTCCTGGGTCACCTTGCTAGCCCTTCTTACGTTTCTTTTTTTTTTTTTTCTGGTCGTGGGGCCTGAACTCTGGGCCTGGACACTGTCCCTCAGCTCTTCAGCTCAAGGCTAGCACTCTACCACTTGAGCCTCAGTCCCACTTCCGGCTTTTTCTGCTTATGTGGTGCTGAGGAATCATGCATGCAAGGCAAGCACTCTACCACTGAGCCACCTTCTCAGACCCCTCTTCTTACGTTTCTAACACACCTTACATCCTATACCACATGAATTCTCTCAGAAGGGCTCCCTGGTCAAGCACTTGCAATGGCTTTCCACCTCCTACTCGATAAAACATGATTTCTCTGGCTTGGAAATCAAGTTCTTAAAGTCACCGTATCTTTCAACTTGTATCTCCTTATGAGTTTATATAACCGGTTCATTCCAACCAAACTGATCCATACACCGTCTTCTGAGAACTCAGTAAACTCTCCTACCTCCGTTCTCATGTTTTCCCCCCTCCTACAATGCTTTCTTCTTTCTCTTTACTGAAATCTTACCTGAGCTTCAAAGCCCACCTCTAATCACACCCAGTTCCCCTTCCTCTGAAGGCTTCCCACACATTCCCACCAGCCAAAGGCCGGGTGTTTGGTTTTGAGACAGGGAGTTGCTATGCACTCCTATCTTCTCTGCTCAAATCCATCTTTCACATATTACCAGAAAAGCCACTGCACACACCTGCTCACGCCATACCCCTCCATGTAAAATGCAAAGGTTCTTCCTGAGTTTTACATCTTTCTCCAGTCTACACTGTTCCAAGTTAATTTCCAACTATCTGAAACTCTTGAATCCTTTCAAGATCCAAGCCCTGCGGTACCTTCCCACTTTTTTTTTTTTTTTTGGTCAGTTGTGGAGCTTGAACTCTGGGCCTGGGTGCTGTCCCTCAGCTCTTCAGCTCAAGGCAAACACTCTACTACTTGAGCCACAGTACCACTTCTGGTTTTCTGGTGGGTAATTGGAGATAAGAGTCTCACGGACTTTCCTGCCCAGGCTGGCTTTGAACCTAGATCCTGAGATCTCAGCCTCCTGAGTAGCTAGGATTACAGGCGTGAGCCACCAATGCCCAGCTCCTTCCCACTTTTAAACAAGGTGTTACTTCACTTAACAAGACTTGATTTCATTGGTCTAGCAAATTCCCATTCATTGTTCAAAACCCTGCTTAATGTTCTCTCTTTGAAGTCCTCCTTGCTAACAACCCCCCTCAAAGCCAATTATTCCTCCTCTCTCCTGCTTCTCTGCCTTTTACATAATTTTCACTGCAACAGGACAAACCCTATGACACTGCCAGTGTTCAGCTACACTTTACAGAACTGGCAGTTCATAGGTCCTACCCAATCAGGTGGCACTGTATTTCAGCTTTCTGACTGCAAGCTCTGAGAGTTAGAACTCCTGGGCCTCCCCTGTACCTACATGACACAGATGTTTAGCAAATATGTGGAACCAAAGTGACCAGAGCAAGACATTTAGCTGCTCTAAGCAGCCAGAGTTGATCTTAACAACTCTCTATGTTACCTCTCCTTATGGTACTGCTTTGTACTGTCAGCACCCCAGAAATATTTGAGAAATTAGACTTGCCTATTTGTCTACTTTTTTATTCATCAGTTTAGAAAGTCCAAGTGATACCTGTAACTCTTTTGTTTCTTGAAGTTTTCTTTTCTCAGCCTGTTCAAGCTTTTCTTTCCAAACCCTTTCCAAAAAAAACAAAAACAACAAAGTTACAGCAACCAGACACGTAAGACTGAGAATCTAGAGAGGACCAGGGCAGCCTGGGAAGCTCCACAGCAACCTTTAAACAAGGCAGTCTGAAAGCGGACTGTTTTGCTCACCGGGAGGGTAAGGAGAAAGAGATTAGTATGCTCTCACCAACATCCCTCCCAGCCTGGGTACTAGTGGCTCACGCCTGTAATCCTAGCTACTCAGGAGGCTGAGAACTGGGGATTGCAGTTCAAGGCCTACGCAGGCAGAAAAGTCAGTGAGATTCTTACCCCAATTAACCACAAAAAGCCAGAAGTGAAGCTGTGGCTCCAGCCTTGAGCAAAAAAGCAAAGGGACAGTGCCTAGGCCCTGAGCTCAAGCCTAGGAGTAGCATGAAAGAATAATCACGAAGTGCCCCCTCCCTCCATCTCACCACAGCACACTCAGTATCTCACCTCTGCATTTCTGCCATGTCTCTCTCCTGCTGATGCAGTTTCATCCTCAGAGATGTTATCTCTTGCTGACAGAGCCGGTACCGTTCAGGGTCAATATTCCGGTTGCTTCTTTGAGCAGCTTTTAGCTTTTCAATTTCTGCTTTCAATTCTAAGCATTTGTAAAAAGATGCATGCTGAGTGAATATCTGATGTGTGATGATTCTTGACATTGGGCATAATACTCTAATCATTTATTTCATATGGAATTTTAAATATGTCTAAATAAAATTAGACTATTTAGAGAAATCAGCTATATTTTACTGAACATTACCTACAAAGCTCTACCCTACCTTAACCTGAAAAAGCACTCCCATATTAATAAATTCTCCCTTTGTTAACGGGACAACCAAGTGACACACTTCTGAAAGGCAGAGGTATCTGTATGTTAGTCACACTGGGACAAATCAGAATTGTCTTGGACAAACATCATCCATAAAGACATGTGGAACAAAGATCAAAGACTTCTGAAGCTGGATTTCAGAACTCTTGCTTATTTTGTGTTGTTTGCTGGTTGGGGTGCTGGGGTTTGAACTTGGGACCTTGTGTTTGTTAGGAGACCCTTTACTACACAAGCCATTCCTCCAGCCCCATTTGCTTTAGGTTACTTTTCAGAAAGGTGGTCATATGTTTGTCAGGGGCTCTGTGTGTGTGTGTGTGTGTGTGTGTGTGTGCATGCGCGCGCTAGGACTCAAACTCAGAACCTCAGGCTCTCATTTGGCCTTTTTGCTCAAAGTTGGCTATTACTGGAACCACAGCTCTATTTTTTGTGTTGTTTTTTTTTGGGGGGGGGGCTGTTTGTTTGCTGGTTAATTGGAGATAAAGAGTCTCACAAACTTTCCTGCCTGGGCTGGCTTTGAATCGAGAAAGCCTCCTAGATAGCTAGGATTACAGGTGTAAGCCACTTGCGCTGGCTGTAAAGGTTTTGTATGCGTGCCATTTCCTCTTTACTGCTGCTGTTCTCTATGGCCTTACACTCTTCTCTTCTCTCACCATTGACTTGTCTTGCTGTCTTGCTGTCCATCTCCCTATCTGTCTCCATCACTATTTAGGACTAGAATCTATCATAATTAGATATGGGGGAAAAATATTTGCTTTTCTTAAGATTGCTCCTTTTAAGGCTGAATTAATATGTAAGTTTAAACTGTGGCAAAATATTTAGGTTTTGAGAAAAAAGCATACCTCTGATGAGCCTGGCATTCACATCTTCATTGACTTTAGCAACATTGACTATCAAGCGTGCCTGGCTAGCGTATCTGAGTGTGCTTAAGGTTTCTTCCAGGTTGCTGGATGCAGGGCTGACAGTAGCAATCATAGCAGTTTTTGAATTTCCACCCAGACTTTCTTTAAGGAGCCTTTGAGGGCAGAAAAGTTACAATTAGACTTTATTTCTACAACAAGCTAATTACATTATTGTCTAGAAAGCACAAATTGAACTCTAATAGGTTATACAATAGGGTTTTATTTATATATGTATATATCTGTGTGTGTGTGTGTATGTGTATATATATATATATATATATAGGCTTAGTACACTAGAGTATTGTTATCTAGTGTAACAGTGGAACACTTAAAATCAGTATAAATGTCCAACGGTAGAGAAAAACTTAGGAACTGTAAATTAATGGAATATTACATAGTTTAAAAAAATAGGGTATATCGGGCTGGGATGTAGCTCAGTGGTAAAGTGCTTGCCTGGCAAGTGCAACGTCCTGGGTTCGATCCCCAGTACCAAAAAAGAAAAAGACAAAAAAAATAGGGTATATAATAGGATATTATATTTGATGTTATATAATAGGATATCATATTTGATATTACAATATCTATTGGGGTTTAAGGGAAAGAGAGTGGACAAATGGAAGGGTGGGCAAATGCAGTCACGATACTCAATGTACACATGTGAATAAATATAGCAAGATATTTTATACCCTATTGGTTCAATAATACCATTTTAAATCATTTTGGCACTATAGGTATTTTTAGGTCTCACAACACATTATTTTCTCCTGCCTTCCACATTGTTTAATGCCAGATGATCTGTGCAAAGGCATAAATCATAGCTAACCATCAAACACTGGGAGGAGAGCTCTTCCTTCTTAGATGGCAAGCTACAAAGGGAAAGGATTATGCCTCAGTCTTCATAATCCCAGTGTCACTGACCACAGCCTCAAATAACAGGTGTGTAAACAAAAAAAAAATCTATATTGTACTGTGTGCAGAGTTTTATTTTAGGGGGGAAAAAGTATCAGATTTAAAAATACATTTATATTAGTGAAGAATGAATGTCAGTAGTCCTAACTTTCCAAAGGTATGAAAAAGAACTACCCTTTTAACCAGGCGCCGGGGGCTCACGCCTGGATTCCTAGCTACTCAGGAGGCTGAAATCTGAGGATCGCTGTTCAAACCCAGCCCGGGCAAGAAAGTCTGTGAAACTCTTATCCCCAATAAACCACCAGAAAACCAGAAGTGGCGCTGTAGCTCAAGTGCTAGAGCACTAGCCTTGAGCTGTAGAGCTGAGGGACAGCGCTCAGACCCAGAGTTCAAGCCCCACAACCAAACAAAAAAAAAAAAGAACTGCCCTTTCCTTCCAAGTTTCCAGGTGGTAATCACAGTCTAATGAACCAATTCTAAAGATGTGTCATTGTCACATAGGGATGTAGTCCTGATGCTCCCAGACTTAAGCTGAGGTTTCACCCTGAGAAGCCCAATGTAAGTTAAAATTAATGTAAGTCAGCTGGGCACCAGTGGCTTCTGCCTATAATCCCAGCTACTCAGGAGGCTGAGATCTAAGAATCAATGTTCAAGCCAGCCCAGGCAGGAAAGTCTTATAAGACTCTTATCTCCAATTAATCACAGAAAAAGCCAAAATGGTGCTGTAGCTCAAGTGGTAGAGTGCTAGCCTTGAGCAAAAGGAGCTTAGGGACCACCTAGGCCAAGTTCAAGGACCAGCAAAAAAATAAAAATAAATAAATAATAATAAGTTAAAAATATATTGAAAGGGCTGGGAAGGTGGCTCAGTGGTAGAGTGCTTGCCTTGCATGCCTGAGGCCCTGGGTTCGATTCCTCAGCACCACTTAAGCAAAAAGAAAAAAGCTGGAAGTGGCGCTGTGGCTCAAGCGGTAGAGTGCTAGCCTTGAGCTGAAGAGCTGAGGGACAGCACCCAGGCCCAGAGTTCAGGTCCCCACAACCGGACCCAAAAAAAAAAAAAATTAAAAATATATTGAAAGCCAGGCATTGGTGGCTCATAGCTATAATCCTAGCTACTCAAGAGGCTAAGATCTGAGGATCATGGTTCGAAGCCATCCCTGGCAGAAAAATCCCTGTGATTCTTATCTCCAACTAACCACAGATAATTGGAAGTAGAGCTGTAGCTTAAAGGACAGTACCCAAGATTCTTATCTCCAACTAACCACAGATAATCGGAAGTAGAGCTGTAGCTTAAAGGACAGTACCCAAGCCTTGACTCAAGCCCCATGACTCAAAAAAACAAACAAACAAAAAAGTATTGAATGCAACTAGTACAGCAAACACCACAGCTTAGCAGCACAGTGACACTGCTAGAGAACAGAACAGTTTTTTTCTGGACCCTGGTCACGTGACTGGCTGGGGCTCACATGGCTGGCTGGTTGGCTGAGGATCACATGGCTTTGGTGCCATGCTGCTGCCCAGCATCAGAATCTTTTAGAGCACATCACCAGTCCCAGAAAGAAAGAAGAAAAAAAAATCAAGTTCTAAAGCACAATCTCTGCATGGTAAAGTAGAAAAATCATAAGCCAAACCATTATAAATTGGGGACCATCTCCCGACATTAACACTTCTCAGTGAATATTAAATGTGCCTTTGTAATGGATTAGAAATAAAACCTATATTCACTGATGAAAACACTAAGCATTAGGTACTAGGCATTATGGGGTAGGTACACACAATAACTGAATTTCACTTTATGCACAGCAATGTTTGGTAACAGCATCATGTTAGGCACTAATAACAATTGGACACAACTTGATGGAGGAGTGATCTGCACTCATAGACTCTGCATTATGTACTAAGATGCTCACCGCAGAAGGTAGAGATTGAGACCATTCCCATTAGTGAGGAAACAGGCTGTGTCAGGAAGTGATTGCCCCAAGTCACAGAGCTTACTACCTAGATTCAAATCCAGGTAGTTTTGGAAACGGGGCAGTGGCTCAAGTGGTAGAATGCTAACCTTGAGCAAAAAAGCTAAGGGACAGCACCTAAGCCCTGAATTCAAGCACCAGTACTAACACCAAAACAAAACCAAACAAAAGCTGGGTTAATTTTCTATCTAGAATCCACATTACTAAAGCACTTCTTTTCTGATTCAAAGTTGTATGAAACCGGTTTTTCTTCACAGCATTCACTGTATTTTATATGTGTGTGCATTTGTGTGTGTCTTACTGGGGACTGAACCCAGGACCTCATGCTTGCTAGGCAAGTGCTCTACCACGTGCACTATACCTATATTTGATATGGTTCTTTATATTTCAAAAGATACTTGCCATGTAAGAACAGATTCACGGTAGGGAACAAAAACTCTCCTTCGGTTTGCTTGTTCTGAGAGTGCAGATATAACCTTTCCCAAGGTTAGCAAGGACTTGTTAATGCTCACGCCCTCCTGTATGCAAGATTGAAAATCAAAATATTTTTTCTTCTCATTAACAAAGTGATTCAGCAAAACAGGTATCTCCCCATATATAATTACTAAATATGTTCTTCCCTAAAGTACCAACTTTTTACGACTCAAAATTTATTAACTTTCCTTGAAAAGTAATCATAACCAAAAAAGTATGCAGCTCTAAAGTTTTCAATGATGTAATCATAAGCTATCAACTATGTAAATATCTGTAATATACATAATATATATTATATACATAATTATATATGCATAATGTATAAGTATATTATACAGGTATAGATGTATTGATATGTGCATGTATATGTATGTAATATATACTATACATATATGTAATTCTGCTTGTAAGTAATGTCTTCATAACTAAATCTCATCAAAATGAGAAAAGAAAGACAGGAACTGGGGCAAACCTGCAGTCTGTTACTTGGGAGGCTAAGGCAGGGGGACTGCTTATAACCCAGATTTATTATTACTATTTTTAGTAGTTGCACAAAGGGATTACCATTCAACATGTCAATTTATGAGTACAATGCATCTTGATCACTGTCATTCCTTCCTTTATTCTCCCCCTTCCCTACCATAGGGACCCCTTAAGTTGCCCTGCTACATTTTCACATTTGCACATTGAGTATCCTGTCTGCATTCACCCACCCTTCCTCTCTCCATTTGTCTACACTCTTTCTTTAAACCCCACCCCTCACAGACATGTTTCGGCCTCCTAGTATTCACTTTGCTGAACTATAGGTGAACTGTTCAAAGGAGTTAAGCCACTGGACCCTACCCTTTCTTACATTGTACTTTGTCAGTTTCTCTGTGTATGTTTGCCCTTGTTTGTGTTTTCATCATAATTATTCATTATAAGTTAGATCTAACTTTCACATATGAGAGAAAACATGCCATTTGTCTCTCTGAGCCTGAATGAATTCATTACATAATTTTTTCCAGGTCTGTCTTGGAAATGATTCAATATTATTTCTTCCTGATAGATGAATGAAATTCTATTGTGGGTATACATCACTTTTCCTTGATCATCTGTTGTCGGGCATCTGTGCTGTTTCTATAACTTGGTTATAGTGAATAGTACAGCAATGAGCCATACCTGACTTACCATACCTGCTTACAATCCCTTGGATAAATGCCCTAGAATTTGAAGCCAGCCTTGGAAACACAGTGAGACCAAGGCTCAAAAGAAAAAGACAGAGAAGAGCGTGTGAGGTACCTTGAGTCGGTCCCCGCTGGTCTGGGCGGTGGAGCAGCGCTCACTACCGGCCAGATCTATTAGGTTTATGCGGCTTGTTATCCTGTGGTCATGTTCTTCCCCCTCCACGAATTCAGTCTACAGAAAAAACAGTATTAGGAGAATTTAGTCCTCTATGACTTGCTGTCAATGTCTTTAAGAGGGAGACATAGACAAGATTACAAACAATTAATTTAAAAGCATCCATTTTTAAATTGCAGTCATTTATAGTGTTTATAGTGCCCAGATATCCACAGGATCTACTAGGAATGTATCAACCAGGGGCTGGATTGTGACAAAATGAAACAGATGAAATGATAGAGATTAAAACTCCACCCTACTGAGTTCTAGTAAGCAAACAACTATAAATGGAGAAAGGCTTAGTGCACCAGAGTATTGTTGTCTAGCATAACAGGAGAACACTTAAAATCAATACAAATGTCTAACAGTAGAGAAAAACTTAGAAACTGTAAATTAACGGGATATTACACTATTTAAAAAATTATCTCTGCAGGCTGGAAAGGTGGCTCAGTGGTAGAGCGCTTGCCTTGCATGCATGAGGCCCTGGGTTCAATTCCTCAGTACCACATAAACAGAAAATAAAAAGCCGGAAGTGGCGCTGTGGCTCAAATGGTAGAGTGCTAGCCTTGAGCTGAAGAGCTGAGGGACAGCGCCCAAGCCCAGAGTTCAGGCCCCATGACCGGACCAAAACAAAAAATTATCTCTGCCTAGAATTTTTTTTTTTTTGGGTCCGGTCATGGGGCCTGAACTCTGGGCCTGGGCACTGTCCCTCAGCTCTTCAGCTCAAGGCTAGCATGCTACCACTTGAACCATAGCACCACTTCCGGCTTTTTTTTTCTGCTTATATGGTGCTGAGGAATCGAACCCAGGGCTTCATGCATGTAAGCGCTCTATCACTGAGCTACCTTCTCAGCCCCTCTCTGCCTAGAATTTTAATGGCATAAAATTGTTAGAGATTTTCTGAATTTGCTTGTGATTATGAGACAGAGCGTTGAATAGTGGAAACTATGGATGAATTTTAAAGTCTTCTACTTTGTAATGTTTTCCCAAATACTGTATAATTACCATATATTACTGATATTATCTTATTGATATGATCTTATCAGTTATATATTAATTAGTACTAGTGATTAATTTGTATTAGTACTAGTTTTTAAAAATAACAACATATTGCTAAATATAGTTATTCAAAGTAATTATATAATTTCCTGAAATGCATTTGTGTCTATATAGTTTTATGACTGTGTTTTAACCTTTAGATTTACCAAAAAAAGAGTTAAACTATAGAAGTCATGGCTTCACTATCTTCCCGAGGAAAGTACTTGACAACCACAGTACCTTGGTCTGGGTCATCACCAGGGTAAAAACGGAGTGGGAGCGGGAACTTTTGTCATTCATGCCGGTAGCAGCGGTGGCTCTTTGCTTGTTTCCCAGCTCCAGCCAGCTCTAAGGAGAGAAAAAGAAGGTCACTAACATTCAGAGATGGTAATTAAAAAGAAAAAGAAATTAAGAAGCAAAGAAGTTAGGAAAGCACGTTTGTTTCTTATACACATTTGTAACATATACAGTGTGTAATTAGCTTAATAATTTACATTCCCATTGACTGTTTTTTTGTGTTGTTATTTGGTTACCTGAATCAGGATATAACACCCTTAAAAAGCTACTCCTAAAACTCTTAAGGTAACATGATATTTGGTGTTTATTTTCAACTCAGGAGCCATTTTTCTCATATTAGCATAGATAAATTGTACGACTTCATATATTGTGTTGATTAAGGTGTTACAAAAGCAGTTCACAAAGCATTAACTGGATTAACCCCTTATGCATGTGAACAGCAAAAAAGAGACAGTCGTAGAAATATTCATGAGCATCCTCTATCTAGTTAAAAAAGACAAAATGCAATCAGTCTTACCTGGATATCAGAATAAGAACTGACAACGTTCCTAATGTTTAAGAAGTAAGAAGATAAAATCAATTTCATTATTCTCACAAACCACTTATCTTTCAATATATAAATACTCTGGAGATACCAATGGGCTGATTCATAAACATTTCTATACTTTACTTTTTTTCTTTTGGTGATGGTACTGAGGCTTGCTCTCGACTTTGTGTTTGCTAGGCATTCTACCCCTTGAGTCATACTCCCATGCTTCATTTTCCCTATTCTTAAAGGGCAGGAAATGAGATAATACTTGTACTTTATCAAAAAATATGACTTTTGAAAATCAAGCACCTCCCAGACACTGGTGGCTCACGCCTGTAATCCTAGCTACTCGGGAGGGTGAGATCTGAGGATCACAGTTCAAACCAGCCTGAGCAGAAAAGTCTGTGAGCCACCAGAAAACTGGAAGTGGTAGAGCTGCTAGCCTTGCACTGAAGAGCTGAGGGACAGCGCCCAGGCCTAGAGTTCAAATCCCATGACAGACAAAAAAAAGAAAAAAAAAGAAAATCAAGCACTTTAGTATCTTAACATTATAATACTCAAATAAAAATCATACCACCAAAGGTTTGATTCTAAGATATACACAGGTGTACGCATGTGTAGCGAAGGTATGTAGAAGTCCCGGCTAAGATCTGAGAATCACAATTCAAATCCAGCCCAGGCAGGAAAGTTCATGAGACTGGTATCTCCAATTACCACCAAAGAAGCCAGAAGTAGAGCTGTGGCTCAAGTGGTAGAGTGTTAGCCTTGAGCACAAAAACTCAGGCTCGAAGTTCAAGTCCCAGGAATGGCACATACACACAAAAACAAACAAAAAAACAACCAAACAACAAGAAAATAAAGCAAAAACTTCCAGTGGCTCATGCCTGTAAAGCTAGCTACTCAGGAGGCTGACATCTGAGAATTAAGGTTCAAAGCCAGCCAGGCAGACAAATCTAAGAGACTCTTATGTCCAGTTAACCAGCAAAAAAGCCTGAAGCTGGAGGTATGGCTCAAGTGGTAGAGCATCAGCCTTGATTAAAAGGCGAGGCCAAGAATGTGAAGACCTGAGTTCAAGCTCAATACCAGCAAAAAAAAAAAAAAAAAAATAGCATCTTAATACCTTCCTTTCTTCACTTTTCAGCTTAAAGGAATAGGTATAAAAATCAGGTTTGAAGGAAGGTTTCAACTTAATGGGGAAAGAAAAGGTAAAAATAGGAGAAAAAGCAAATATTTTATTTCACACTCAGTTTAATCAATATGCTAAACCAGATGCTATGAAAAAAATACAAATATAAAAATGAACAGCTAACTGCACCCTGGTTGGAAAGAGCTAGAGCGGTCATCACTCCGGTCTCTCCCAATACGCAGTAGTCTCCTCCCCTCGCTCTGCCTGTCCACAGTGGTCTCCTCCCCTCGCTCTCTCCCTGTCCACAGTGGTCTCCTCCCCTCGCTCTCTCCCTGTCCACAGTGGTCTTTCCCCCAGGCTCCTGCTAAGCCAGACACTTACATGGACAATCCCTCAACATATGGTCCAGTCACAGGATGCTCTCTCACCCGCAGCTGGAAGAGGCAAATATGAGTTTGACACGTACTTCAGGAGATGCAATCTTAAATGATCACTTTTTCTACATTTTGAGTTAACTATGTGTCTTGACCCAGAAATAAATACAAAGAACCATAAAAGCATATCTGTATGTCACAAAGAAACTGCTTTATGACTCAAATTATTGATATACGCACAATATACAACAACATATGTCACATCACTGTTACTAATTTTTACTTTTAACTTAAGTCCTACTGTACCTATTTGCTTATGTGCTTTTAAAGTTCTCTAAAATACATTGACTAACTTTCAGACATTTATTTTTTCTTCCTTTTTACACTGGCATTTTAAGTTTTGTGAGCAGAAATTTTTGAACATTATCAAAGTCATAAAAGACAATGTTATTTGAGTTTCTTGATTTTTTTTTTTTTGAGTTTCTTGATTTTTGTCACGGTAAACTGCATGAGCTTGGGCAAAGGAAGTCACCTTATACAGTCATGTATTGTGCTGCAAATTTCCTTTGCAAAATTAAAACCTTTCCTTTATAAAAAGCTGAAAGGTTTTAAAACGCTGAAAGTCTATTTCTCAGACTATCTACAGCATATCAAATAAACAATCCACTGAAATACATTATTCGCCAATAAAAATACAAAGTTTGAAAAAATTTCACTACCTTTTGGCTGATAGACTATGAGTCTGTTTAATTTATATGAGCCAAAACAACATTTTAACATTTAACAACATTTTAATCTCTAACTTTTACACAATACTTGAGTGATTAGTTTTCCACCAGCGATAATGTTCAGTTTATTTCAATACCAATTAAGACTGGCGATCTTAAGCACTTGCTATCAATAAAAATATTTTAGTAAAAACTTAAGCCAAGGTATCCAGAACTCACATAATTATAAACCTTTATAAAAACAAAAAGAAAAGCAAATATGAATTATTTAAAACTTACTGGTTGCTTTCTCTGCCCATTATCACCTTTACAAACCAGAAGGTCATGAATTTTTTCATTATATACTTCAAAGAAGCTCATTTCAAGGTGATAGCTGACCTAGCAGAAATTGAAACAAGACGTTATATTTACTTTCAAATTCTTGGAATGGCTTATAAGTCACATATCTGACATGAGTCTAGTATCCAAATATATAAATTCTTGTTGGGCAGCAGTGGCTCACACCCATAATCCTAGCTACTTAGGAGACTGAGATCAGAAGATCGAGGTTCAAGGCCAGCCTGATAAAAAAGTTTAGGAGACTCTGTCTCCAAACTAACCATCAAAAAGGAGGCAAACTGAGCAAGCTGTGAGGCTCTGAGTTCAAACCCAGGTATTGGCACAATTTTTTTTTCTTTTTTGTTTTGCCAGTCCTGGGGCTTGACCTCAGGATCTGGGCGCTGTTACTGAGCATCTTCGTTGCTGAGCCACAGTGCCATTTCCAGCTTTTCCTGAGTAGTTTATCAGGGCCCAAGAGTTTCATGGGTTTTTCTGCTGGACTGTCTTCAAACTGTGATCCTCAGATCTCAGCCTCCTGAGTAGATAGGATTACAGGCGCGAGCCACCAGGACCTGGCTTCTTCTAGATCTTATAACAGGTGATAATTTAGCAGTTATGACTCTGATTTGTATTTGAGCATACCTCTTGGGTTTGTTTTTTGGCTACTTGAGCAAAAAGATCTTCACAAAATCTTGGAATTATTCCTAGTTCTTCACTAAATCCCATCATCCTGAAAATACATTATAAATAAGAAGAAAGTAACACAGATTAGGGATTTTAAAAAAATTATTTTGGGGAAAATGAGTTAGTTTCAGGGTTTTTTGTTGTTGTTGTTGTTGTTGTTTTTCTTTTCTTTTTTTTTTTTGCCAGTCATGTGGCCTGAACTCTGGGCCTGGGTGCTGTCCCTCAGCTCTTCAGCTCAAGGCTAGTGTTCTACCACTTGAACCACAGGACCACTTCCTGTTTTCTGGTGGTTTATTGGAGATAAGAGTCACAGATGTTCCTGCCCAGGCTGGTTTTGAACCTCGATATCTCAGCCTCCTGAGTAGCTAGGATTACAGGCTTGAGTCACCCAGCAGTTTGGGACCTTTTTGGGGGGAAATGGGTTAGATAGGGACCATGGGACAAGCTAACTACTTAAAAGTTCACCATTAATAGTTAAGCATCAGATTGGCCCAGATCTAAGACGTGACTCTAACCTATTATTAGTTCAGTGGCCCCGAACAAGACACCTGACCTCACTAAATCTCAACTACCTCATCTGCAGTGTGGGACAAGCAGAAGCCTCTATTCAGAGGCTGTGACAGAACACAGCAAAGCCTTCTAGCATAGTATGCGAAGACCTCAAGGAAGGCTAGTCCCTGTGCACATTCAGCCTGCTTCCCTCTACCACAGCTCCACTCGCCTTGGTGTTGTAGTATTTGTAATTGGCACTTGGTAATGGAGCACATTTATGGTGTACGGTGGGACCCTTCTGTACTTATACATAATGTGCCACGGCACCACACAAGGCAAGCAGCACCTCACACAGGTGAGAAAAGCGTTTTCTGTCTAAGTAATTTGCTTTTTTTTTTGTTAATCTGGAGAGAATCCTTTTTCTGAAGAGGTCCTGCTTTGGCCAGTTGGTTTGGCCCTTGTTAATTACATTTAGTTACAGCCTTTTCCTGAATACTTTAAGACATCCTGTTTCAAGCTCCTTGAATTTTAGTTACATCCTGTTAATTATGCCACATGCCTTTATAAATTGTGAACCTGAGCTCAGCCAATGTGAGCAGAGGGGCGGGGCCTGCTGGGTTAGGGGTAAAAAAGGAGCAGCCTACCCGCTCTGTGTGCTTGGTTGCCAGATGGTTGGCTGGTGGCACACCCTTCTGCAGGAAGTGGACTTTCCTTTTGTTGTCCTTATTTTTATGTAACACCCCTATATCCCGAGCTATTTCTTTTTTTTTTTGGTCCGGTTGTGGGGCTTGAACTCTGGGCCTGGGCGCTGTCCTTCAGCTCTTCAGCTGAAGGCTAGCACTCTACCATTTGAGCCACAGTGCCACTTCCGGCTTTTTTCTTTTTGCTTACGTAGTGCTGAGGAATCAAACCCAGGGCCTCATACATGCAAGGCAAACACTCTACCACTGAGCCACCTTCCCAGCCCCTCCCGAGCTATTTCTAGCACACATTATCATTCCTCTGAATTGGAAACAGTCCAGGGCCTCTCTGTTGGTTGTTTTGAAACTCACAGTTCACCATCATCAAACATAGTTCTCTTACGGTGCCACAGATGGCTTACTTTTTAAAAATTTGCTTTAAAATATTTTAGTGGATTTTTGAAAAAGGAAATCAAGTACTTTTATAAGGCAAAGTACATATAAGGAAGAGACAGATATCTAAGTGTCCCTAAGTTTGGTTTTGGTGGTTGTTGTTGTTGTTATAAAGGGATTTATATCAAGGGATTTACTTAAGTCAGGTAAAGAGTACATTTCTTTTTGGACACTGTAACCCTGTCACTCCTTAGTTCCCCCCCACATGCCACCCTCTTCCCCATGCACAAGTTCCAAAGCTTTTTTGGTAAGGTTTTACCCAGTAAACTGCTCACAGATTCTAACAAAGGAAAGATTTAAGTTACTAGATCTACCCAACATTTAAGATGCCTTACTGTTAATCATCCCAATAGTATTTACAAGACACCCTCTCTGGGCTACATTTATACAAGGAATACCAATTGTAGTAAAGTGGAGCCAAAGTTATTTCTGGGATAAACTGAAGTGCAGAGGTTCAGTGGCACCCAAGTTTGCAGAGCTGTGAGAAGAATGGGTGAGCCCTGCATCCCGATCTGAGTGGTTTCATATCTATGTTCTTTCTATCCAGCATGCTGGGTGGCCGTGTGTGCGACACAACTTACGTATAGGATTTTCCAGAGCCAGTCTGACCATATGCAAAGAGACAGGCATTGAAGCCTTCGAAGGCTCGCTCCAGGAGAGGCGCTGCTAGCCTCTCGTAGACAACCGGCTGGCTGGCATAGTGAGGGTGCCGGTCATCAAAAGACCAGAAGGAAACATCGTAAGTAAACGCGTAGACTCGTCTCAAGTCAGGGTGTTCCACAGTGACTTCTTCTCCGTTCATGAAGACTACCTGGAATGCCTTCTCTGTCTGCTCTCTTTGCAAAGAAGGGCAAAGGAAAAAGCCAAGTTACCGTGTGCGATCTATTCCCATAGAATGAGTAAATTCATCATTTCTCTAAGGTGAGAGAACTGTGGACTTTAATATGGAAAATTAGAGAACTTAACTCAAGTTGGTTTCCAAAATACTAATTCTATAAGATTCAGTGCTAATATCCTGAGAAAATGGAATTTACATTTTTTTTTGTAGAGAAATTTAACTTACTTTTACAAATCGTTTCCCCTTTTCCATTTTCTTAACTACATTTTGTTCCACGCCACTGACCAGAATTGACCTCTATGCTTCAGTACTAATCTGCAAACCTCTTTGTGTAATGAGGAAATTTGGGGGCTGCAAATCTACATAAAGCTGGCCTAAAATAGAAATGAGTTTCAACAAGCTGAATGTAGTAAGTTTAAATGCTAAGTCTCTTTGGTTGAGATTTTTTTTGGGGGGGTCCGGTCATGGGGCCTGAACTCTGGGCCTGGGCGCTGTCCCTCAGCTCTTCAGCTCAAGGCTAGCACTCTACCACTTGAGCCACAGCGCCACTTCCAGCTTTTTTCTTTTTGCTTATGTGGTGCTGAGGAATCAAACCCAGGGCCTCATGCATGCAAGGCAAGCGCTCTACCACTGAGCCACCTTCCCAGCCCTGTAAACGCTAAGTCTCTTTGGGCTACTGGCTGTCATTGTTAACCCATTAGTCCCTCTTCCACTAAATTTTCTTCCTTTAAAAAAAAAAAATTCATGTCAAATTCACTTTTAATTTATTGTATTTTAAGTTTTCAAAGTTCTTTAAAAGCCAGGCCCTAGTGACTCACACTTGTCATCCTAGCCACTCAAGAGGCTGAGATGTGATGATCAAGGTTTAAACCAGCCTGGACAGACAAATCTAAGAGACTCTTTTCTCCAAATAACTAGACAAATCGGAGAGACTATTTCCAAATAACTAGTGGAAATGGAGGCATGGCACAAGTAGGGGGGGAAAAAGTCAGTTTTAAGCAGAAAAGCTGCGCCAGAGCAACACGCTCTGAGTTCAAGCTCCAGTACTGGCACAAAATAATTAGTTAATTAATCAAATGCAAAACGGTACCTTTTGCTAAGAGGCCTCACTCGGACCGCCACGGTCACCTGACTGTTCTCGACTTTGAAGGGGTCTGTTTTGGTGGAGCTGTTGTTCACAACTGAAGTTGTGCCTTCAGGAAGGAGTGTATTTTCTTGGGACATGTCCCTTTTATTTGCAAGAAGAGAACTTTGCGACCTTTGAAGACTGGGCCCCCTGCTTCTCACCGTGGATGCACCTGGGCTTTCCGGCAGAGGCAGGCCGCGCTTCGGTGTGGATTTGTGCTCTGGTGTACATGGCACTGGGGGTCTTTTCTCCAGGCTTCCAAGTGTGTTCGAATGGCTGGCAACGACATTCCCAGTACTCCCATGTTGCACGCTTCCTGCTTTGCTCTGGAGAGGTTTCCCAGCCGAGTGTCCCCTGGTTTGACCCTGGGAATGGATAGGTACACTTCTGCTTGAGGACTTCAGTGCAGCGTTTTCATTTGTTCCCCCAGGGGTAGAAAACATTTCTTTGCGTTTCTCATCAGCGGCACTGGAGTCTTTGGTGAAACTTGCAGAGGAGGTGACAGAAGGGTTTCTATTACTACTTAGAACCTTTGCGTTTGTCCCAGTTTCCTGCGGCAGGCCTGCCTCGCCAGCTACCTTCTGCGTTCCCCTCCACCTCTCCACACAATCTGTTCTAGCACCCCGACGTTGCAACGTAAGACTGGCGTCTGCTGCAGGTCCAATTGTGTCCCCCAACTCACTCCCAAGTAAAGTTGACTCTTTGTTCCTCGTAGCTCTTCTCTGAAGGGTCAGTCTCCCCACAGGGTTGGGGGAAAGGGGCAGATCTCCTGATCTGTTACAGGCAGAAATAACGTAAGTGCTGTTTATGTCTCTGATTTTACTCGCAGGTGTCTGTGATGGGTCATGGTTTTCGCACTGTGAGGTGTCAGGCTTGGAAAGCAGCTTCGGGCGGCTGCTGGCGCTGACAGCACTCAAGGAAGAGCATTTCTGGGAAGGAGGCACTTTCAGGAGGGTACCAGCATTTCTACCAGCAGTAGTCTGGACTGACATCTTGGCAAGTGTTCTTTAAAAGAATGTGAAGAATCTAAACCCTTCTTTGGATGTTCATTTGATTTCTGGACACTTTGTTCTTGAAAATATCTGGTAAAGAAACACACACACACAAAGTAGATTGCATAAACTTTTAGGGGGGATCTCCCACTGAGAAAGTAAATTCCCAGAGGCACTTGTTAGAATCAGTCACAATCTCTATCTCAGCTACTGCTTCAAAGCTGCCCAGACACATCTTCAAGTCACCAGTCAACAAATATTTCCTGCCAGGATCTCTGATAAGATACCATAGACCTTTCCTTAGTCTTAGAGAGGAAAACACAGATTACCTTTGTATTAGGGCAAATATGTCCTAATCTCAGAATTTGGGGAGGGGGAATGGGCAGGAAGGATCTCAAGTTCAAGGCCAGCCTGGACAACAAAGCACAACTTGCCTCAAAACAGTAATAACCAAGTGTTAAAAACTGTGTCAACAGTTTGTTGTTTGTTTGTTCATAGTTTTGTGGTACTGAGGTTTAAATTCATGACCCTGTACTTACTCTACCCCTTGTGCCACTGTTCAGACATTTCTGTTGTTGTTTTTTTCAGAGAGGGTCTTGAGCTTTTTGTCCAAGGTATGCCTTGGACTGCCATCCTCCTACCTACTCCCCCCTCTTGAGAAGCCGGGATTACACATGTGAACCACACCTGGCTTCTTTTAATATTTTGCCCAGGTTGATTCTCAACTTAGGCCTCTAGGATTACTGAGTGTGAGCCACCAGACCCACACTGAGGACTAAGGGAAACTTTAGCACCTAAAGCAGGGTCTGGAGCAAAGCATTTTATAAACACTCATTGAATACTGGAATGACTACAGGAAAAGTTAAATCCTTGTCACCAGGCAGATTACCCACAAATAAGTATGCTGACTTTAAGTAGTATAAAGTAATTGCTTGTGTAAGGAAAACTGACTCCTCAAGATTAGGTAAGTAGCTCAGTATAGGGGTGCACACCTGTAATCTCAGGTTAAGGCAGGAGGAATCTGGGCAACATAGCAAGACTCTCCCCTTCAAAGAAAGGTAAGTAGACACCCTGCCCTCCATCAGGCAACAAGCTACACCAGGCAAGGATTAACCTCATCTATTAAGCAGGGAAGTTGAAAAGGAACAGAAGGTAGTGACAGCTAAAGCCCTGGGGCTTGAACTCAGGGACTGGGTGCTGTTCTGGCACAGTTCAGGAGCGTTTTTGCTCAAGGCTGGCGCTCTATTGCAACAGCTCCACTTCCGGCTTTTTTTTTTTGGCTTAACCAGCCAAATTGCAGATAAAAAGTTTTTACTAACTTGCCTACCTGCCTGGCTTCATAACTCAAGTCCTCAGATCTCAGCCTCCAAAGTAACTAGGCTTATAGGTATAGATCAGAGGAAGTGCCCACCTCTAGGGCAGCTCTTTAACATACGCCTCTGTGTAGTAAAACAACACACAGGCTCAACTCACTGCTGTAGAAGAACAGAAGCTCATTTTTCAAGTGACTCTTGGAAGGTTGTATGTGAACAGTCATCATCAAACACACAGCTCTTCAGGTCATTTTAGCATCTGGCATCGGACCTGCAACTAAACGTACAGAAAAGTACAGAATGCGAAGGCAAGAAGAGGGTCTGGAAAGTCGGCTCTTCACACAAATCAATACAGGAGGACTGTCGGGACATGGAGAAGAGGAAGTAGCCCAGGGTCCCACGGCTCTGCCGCTCCCCATTGGGTCTCCTCAAAGGGTCTCTCCACGCCCCGACTCGGGGACCCCGGACGGGGGAGAAGGGGACCCCCACACACCCCGACTCGGGGACCCCGGATGGGGGAGAAGGGGACCCCCACACACCCCGACTCGGGAACTCCGGACGGGGGAGAAGGGGACCCCCACACCCCCGACTCGAGGACCCCCACACACCCCGACTCGGGAACTCCGGACGGGGGAGAAGGGGACCCCCACACCCCCGACTCGGGGACCCCCACACACCCCGACTCGGGAACTCCGGACGGGGGAGAAGGGGACCCCCACACTCCCGACTCGGGGACCCCGGACGCGGATAGGCGAGGCCTGGCAGACCCAAGTCGGCTTCGGGACCCCAGGCCGCGTCCTGGGGACACAATGGGGGTCCCCCGCCAACGCCACAGCGGCCACCGTGGGGAAAGCACCTGCGAGCCCCCCCCGGAAGGGGTGTCACCCCTCCTCAGCGTCCCCTGCCATCTCGGGGACCCCCCCCACTCCCAACCCCACCCCATCTCCCAGCCACTCACCGCTGATAGAGCCGGCTCCCGCGACGGCCGCAATTTGAATGCGCGCCTCGCCTTCTGATTGGCTGCCGGACGTGCGTCAAGAGCCGCGCCCGGAAGCGCCGCGGATTGGGTTCTAGACGCCAGGTTCGCCCCGTCCCCGCCCCGCAGAAAACGTCATGAGCCAATGAGCGTGGAGCTCCGGCCGCAGGGCGTCCCGCGTGGGGAGGGGGGCGGGGCCGCAGCGGGAATCCCGCCAAAACGCGCGTCCGAGGACCATTGAGACTGGGGCGCCCGTGCGGGTCCTTGATGTGAAGCAGCTGGAGCCGGGCGCCGTGGCCCAGGCCGTGATCCCAGCCACTCGGGAGACTGAGGATCAGGGTTCAAAGCCAGCCCGGGCATCAAGGTCCGTGACTGTCTTGTTCTGGTTTCTCTAATTAGCCCGCAAGAGCTGGACGAGGAGCTGCGGCGCAAGTGGTCGAGCCCCAGCCTGGAACAAAACGGCTAAGGGTCAGCGCCCAGAGCCCCCCACAAGTCGGCCTCCCACCAGGACCTCACGTCCACCCCAGGAAGCACACCATCTGTGCAAGGCGGTGAGCTGTGAAGCGTGCTAAGTACCTTACGTGGTGTTTTTTTCTAATGTAATCCTGGAAATCTTACGAGGTAAATATTCATATTATTCCCAGTTTATAGATGAGAGGTGAGGTTCTGCATTAATAAACGTAAACGATCTAACAGCCTGCGAGTGGGATGTCTAGAAACAAGATTTAGTCCAGTTTCAGTACAACCTGGACAGAACAGAGAATGAGAAGAACCAGCATAAGAAAAGGATTTTAGGTAAATACATATTCTAAAGTAACAACATCTTAATGGGCAATAAGTGCAGATAATCAAAGTGTTTTGAAGGATAAAAAGAGAACCAGAAGTAGCTGCAACTGTATAGAAAAACTGGATGGGTAATAGTCATTCTTATCTTCCTAAAATTAATTAAAATCCAGCTATCCAAGGCAAACACACAAGTAATTCATATGAACATACATACAAGTGCAAACATTCAGATATTAAATACACGTTTTTAAAAAAATTAGGAATGAGTAAAAAAATCTCTTGTTTAGGTATTATGAATTTTGCATCAAAATTTAAAGTACACATTTCTTTCTTCTTCTTTTTTTTTTTGCTAGTCATGGGGTCTGAACTCTGGGCCTGGGCGCTGTCCCTTAGCTCTTCAGCTCAAGGCAAGCACTCTACCACTTGATCATAACACCACTTCTGGCTTTTTCTACTTATGTGGTGCTGAGGAATCGAACCCAGGGCCTCACGCATACAAGGCAAGCGCTCTACCACTGAGCCACCTTCCCAGCCCCTAAAGCATATGTTTCTAGGGTCACAAATTATCTGTTTTGAGTGAATCCTTTGTGTTTAGTACAAGGCCTGGTATACAGTAGATGTTTAATAAATGCCTTTCTAGAAAGGAGAACAATGGTGTATTGGAAGAGCTATAAAGATAGTCATCCCTTTTGAACAAGGTATGTAACCAAAAAGAGTTCTTTCTTTAAAAAAATTTTTCATGAATCAAGAGTTTGCAGGAATATTTTCTCTCTGTATTTAGCTTTAAACTGGGAAAAGTCCAAATGCCCAATTTCAAAAGCTTACTGAACGTTTGGAAATGAGGACAACTTACAACCATAATGCCCACTGAAGTTACGCAGTAACTAAATAAATCGAGTAGCACCAGACAAGGCCTGGTCTGTAAGCCCAGTGGCCGGGTGCCCCCGCAGACTGTGGGCTCTAGGTGGCGCTCTCACCCTGGTGTTCCTGGCAACTGGCAGGGACTCCATGGGGCCTTCACCAGGCCACCAGCTACCCACACTTCCTGCTTCCTTCTTTGTCTGTCTCAATGCACTCCAAGTTCAAGTCCAACGCCAGGATGCATACTCCACAAGCTCAAGGGCCACACATGAGCCATCTCCACCTTACTCAAGAGGAATTTTGATCTTTTGAGGTATTCTCCCTGAGATAGCATTTTCCTCTGCAAATCCCATCCAAAGCTGACTAGCAGAGAAAGCCACTTAACCTCTCGCAGTGACTCAGGCTCCGCCTTGGGAAATCACAGATGATGAGTGCACCCCACCCCGAAGACTCACTGGGAGGCTTAAACTAGATTATGTCTGCAAAGTGCTTGGCCCCGAGCCTAGTGCAGGATTCATGCTCAGCAACCGCTAGCTGCTGCGAAGAAAAGCCCCATTCAAGGCCGGCACTGAGGAGCGGGGCTTGTGCACTGCGGGGCTCTCTGTAATAATGATAATGGCACATTGGATGAAGGATGTGGATTATGATTTTTAATCCCTAGAAATAGCTGCAAGACGGAATAGTAAGTCCTTTTGTGAAGCGATTTCACTGAGCTCTAGTAAAAAAGTAGCAGAGAACAATGCAATACTGTCTAGGGGAAAGCTGTACTAATCTCTATTTTGTACCTGTTTGATTAAACTTAGAATGCTTCTTGAGATAAAGGGCCATATCTGTTTTGTGTGAATCCCTTGTGTTTAGTACAAGGCCTGGTATACAGTAGATGTTTAATAAATGCTCTTCTAGAAAGGAGAACAATGGTGTATTGGAAGAGCTATAAGGATAGTCATCCCTTTTGAACAAGGTATGTAACCAAACAGAGTTCTTTCTAAAAAAATTTTTTTCCTGAACCAAGAGTTTGCAGGAATATTGTCTCTATATTTAGCTTTAAACTGGGAAAAGTCCAAATGCCCAATTTCAAAAGGTCACTGAACATACAGACTTTGTATGGGAAAAAAGGAGTCTAGAAAATAACAATTTAGGCCAGTGCAAGTTCTGTAGAACAAACCACCAGACACTTCTCTATTATGTTTTTAAGCCTTGGCCAGCATCCCTCTGGTCTTTGGAATGTAACACTTTCTCCAACACTGCAAAGCAATCAGTGTCTTCCAGCTGCACACAGAGCAGCTGTTTAAATAATCATGTAGTTGGATGCCGGTGGTTCACACCCATAACAGCAGCTATTCTGGAGGCTGAGACCTGAGGACTGAGGTTTTAAGCCAGCTCAGGCACACAAATCCACTTGACTTTTATCTCCAATTAACCAGCAACAAGCTAGAAATGAAGGTGTGGAGCAAAAAATGACAAGTTTTAATTTCAGAATCAAAAACTTATCTCTGCTATCCAGTTAGGCTCAGAAGGAAGGAAGAAAAGATAGGTCCCAAACACCTGCAGTAAGAGCATGGAGGTGAGCAGGTGCTGGACTGGGGAGGGGGAGGGGCTTCCCCTGCTCAGACCTCCTCTTAGACCAGACAGGTTCTGTTGCAAGAACCAGACCAGCACACATGAACACTTCAGGTAGCCAGAACTCGGATTTGAATTCAGGGCCTTGATCTTGCTAGGCAGGTGCTCTATCATATGAGTCATGTCCCAGACCTTTTTGTTTTAGGTTATTTTCAGTCAATGTCTTGTACTTTTTACCCAAGCCAGCCTCATGCTAACATCCTCCTACCTATACCTTCCCGTGTAATTAGGATCACAGGCATAAGCCACCACACTTGGTTTATTCTTTTTTTTTCTTTATTTTTTGCCAGTCCAAGCTAGCACTCTTACCATATGAGCCACAACACCACTTCTGGCTTTTTCTGTTTATGTGGTACTGAGGAATCAAACCCAGGGTTTCATGCATGCTAGGCAAGCGCTCTACCACTAAGCCACATTCCCAGCCCACTTGGTTTGTCCTTTGGCATGGGGTCTTGCTAACTTATTTGGTCCAGGTTGGTCTCCAGTCATGATCCTCTCTCTATTCCTCAAGTAGCTGGGATGACAGACAGATGCCACCATGCCAAACCAACAGAAAACTCCTTAACCTGTCCCAAATCATCCTTACAGTAATTATGAAGGTAAAAGTAAGCAGTTTTATCAAAAATCCACCAGAGGGAGACAAACTGAAGGGGAATATGTGAAAAGAGTTCAGTAGCCAAGCCTTTTAGAAAAGGTAAGATTTAAAGAACATTTAAAGAATGTATTTGTGCGAATAGTCTCTTGTCCAGGTCCCCTCGCCTTGTTTGTTTTTCAGTCATTGAAATGGAACCTGGGGCCTGGCACATCGTAGGCCAGCTCTCTATCACTGAAACAGGTCTTGGTTTTTGAGACAGGAGCTCGCTGTGTGGCACAGCTGGCCACAGACTCCCAGTCCTCATGTCTTAGCCTCTGGAAGGCTGAGGTTATAGGTATGCACCACGATGCCCAATCACAGATTTTAAATGAGCAAATTGTGAGGTTTGTGTCCCTGCTTTGTAGGTGTTTGTACAAT